CGATCCCCAGTACCAATTTAAAAAAAAACTCCAAACACACTGGATCACCTTGTCTTTGGTAAGGGGGCCAGACATGTTCACTGGGAGAAAGACAGCCTCTTTAATAAATGGTGCTGGAAAACTGGCTTTCTACATACCAAACACTAACACTAGACCCATACTTCTCATTATGCACTAAACTAAAATAAAAATGGATCAAAGATCTAAATATTAAAACAGAAGCACTAAATCTGCTGAAAGAAAGAACAGGTAGAACTCCTTAAGACATTGGTATAGGCAAAGACTTTATAAACAAAACATCAGTTACAAGGGAAATACTACAAAGAATCAACAGCAGGGATCTCATTTTATTAAAAAATTTTTGGACAGCAAAAGAAACCATCATCAGAGTGAAGAGACAACCCACAGAGGGAGAAAAAAATGTTAGCCATTTGTTCCTCAAAGGACTAATATCTAGAATGTAATAAGAACTGAAAGAATCAGATCCCCCAAATTTAAACACCCAATCCAAAAATGGGCATCTGAGATGAATACATACTTCTCAAATGAAGAAGTACAAATGGAAAATAAATATATGAAAAACTGTTCAATATCATAGGTAATTCAGATGCAAGTTAAAACAATGCTGAAATTCCATCTCACTCCAGAAAGAATGGCTATTATAAAGAAATCAACCAATAACAGATGCTGGTAGGGCTGTGGGGGGAAAGGAACCCTTCTCCACTGTTGTTGGGAATGTGGATTGCTGCAAACACTGTGGAAATCAGTGTGGAGATTCCTCCAAAAACTAGGATTAATAATCCCATTTTCCCTCTTGGTATCTTCCCAAAAGAATTAAAAGCACATGCCACAGCAATATATACTGTCTTAGTTTCTTTTCACTTGTTACTGAGACAAAATACCTGAAGAAAGGATTATTTAGCTCACAGTTTGTAGAGGTCTTAGCCCATAATCGGCTGGCTCCAAGGCAGGGTGGCTCATGATTAGGGGACAATCTCTCACGCTGGTGGAAGACAGCAAAGGCAACAAGGGGGCCTTATCAGCATCTTTCTGCCCCTTTTCTACTGTGTCTAGACTGCTGGGATTAGGGCAGTGCCAAACCAATCAGTGGACTGCTTCTGCTGCCACACACCCTTTATCCCAGCATCACACATCTAGATCCAATCACCTTTGAAAAAGCCTAAGACTGCATGAGGGTTAGGGGGACATCTAGGCATAAACCACAATATATGTCCAGCCATGTTCATAGCAGCACATTTCATAATAGCTAAATCCTGGAAACAACCCAAATGCCATCAATCAATGAATGAATAAAAAAGATGTGGAGTTTTTTATACAAAGGAGTACTATTTAGCAATAAAGAAGAATAGACTTGAGATCGTTATAAATGGATGGACCCCAAGACCATACTGTTAAGTGAAATAAATTTTATTAAATTAAATATCACATTGTTTCTCTGGTGTGAGAAACTAAAAGTGTAAATAAGAACTAAAATTAAAATAGAAATTGTGAAATAGGAAGAAATTGTTCAAAAGGAAAGGGGAACTAGGAAGGGTGAGACAAAAAAGAAGTAAAGGAAAAGTAACAAACAATGAAAAAAGAAAGATAAAATAGAAACAAACCTTTGTAAATAAGCAGAGGAGGTCGGGCGTGGTGGCTCACACCTGTAATCACAGCACTCAGGAGGCTGAGGCAGGAGGATAGTCATGAGTTCAAGGTCAGCCTGGGTTATGTAAGTGAGTTCAAGGCCAGTCTATACTACACAGTGAGACTCTGTCTCAAAACAAATAAACAACAACAAAGAAAAACAAAGAGCAAGAATTAAACATACAGGTAATTAATACATATGCAATCCTGGAAAGGGAACCCAGGGTCTTGTACATGTTAGCCAAGTGCCCCACCACTGAGCTACAGCCCCGGTGTTTTTTATCTTCCGATAGGGTCTTGCTAAGTTCCCCAGGCTTGCCTGAAATTTGAAATGTTCTTGCTTCAGCCTACAAAGCAACTGGGATTTACAGACATGCAGCACAACACCCCTCACGTATCCGTTTTTAAAGACGAACAAATCAACAAAAAATATACAAAGAATATGAATAGTTCTCAGGAAAGGAAATACAAATGATTCTCACACATGTGAACAAACGGATCCACTCATAACTAGAGAAATGCAAATTTTCTATTGCAGATTTCCATGGGGCATCCTGGTTTCTAAATATATTGTCCAATACAATGAACTAAAGCTTCAAGGGAGAACAGCTGATTCTAGGGCTAGGATGGGGAGACTACAAAACAAACCTCATAATGTCACCAAATAAGGAGATGGAGGAAATGACCATAGCGAAAATTAGTCCTGTTCTCACCAACTCAAGTAGGTAGGAGCTCCAAGTGAAGAGGCTCCTAATGGTCAAAGTGGAACGACTTCACCAACAAAATAGTAGGATAGTATTTAACTACAATCCAAAGAATAAAGTAATAAATGGAAGAGAAGAAGAAATCTTCCTTAAAGGAACTTTTTTTTTTTTTTAAATAGAGCCAACCAGGACTATAATCCCAGGACTCTGGGAAGCTGAGGCAGGAGAATCACAAGTTTGAGCCCAGCCTGGGCAATTACGACACTTAGCAAGACCCTGTCTCAAAAAAAAAAAAAAAAAAAAAACCAAAACATAAACAAACAAACAAAACAAAAACCAGCAACGTTGCTTCATTCCAGATTTCACCCTGGCTGCCAAACCCTGGGCTGGAGCCTGGCTGATGAGCCCCTGGGGACGTCATATCCTGCAGGAGGCAGGGACAGTGACACCCTGGGGATGCAGGCACCATGTGGGAGTATTTCCTTCTTCTCTCCCAGCCCCCCTAGTTATGACATCCTGTTTTGCTTTCTTTCATAACCCTTTTTGCAAACTGAGGTATAATTTACATGAAATAAAATGATCCGCTTTCAATATACAGTCTGATGTGTTTTGACTTATGCACGCCTCTTTCTGTCCCTGTGTAACCACAACCTCTATCAAAGCAGGGAACACGCCTAGCACCCCAGACTGTTGTCTCCTTCCCCCGCCCCAGCAGTTGCCAATCTGACTCCTGTCACTCTTGTTTATTTCTGCCTGCTCTGCATTTCATTAAAGTGGAGGAAAGGGTATGTACCCTTCAATGTGGCTTCCTTCATTCATCAGAATCCATCTGTCCTGTGGTGTTTATCGGTGGTCCATCCCTTTTCCCTGCTGAGTACTATTCCATCGTGTGGCTCTCTCCTGCTTTATTCCTTAATAATCTGCTGATGGACACGTTGTGGTTTCCAGTCTGGGTTACTAAAGGAAGAGCTGCTATGAAATGGGTCTTTGTAGAGGCAGGTGTTTTTATTTCTACTAGATAAATAATCTGGGGCTGGGTTATACAGCAAGCTTAGGGAACTTGTGAAGAAAAGCCCTAAATCTGGGAGAGTTCTCACACTGCGTCCACACCAGCACCCCCAGCCCTTTGTGCTATCAAGCCGATTTTACAGGCTCCAGGAACCTCTAATGCACGCCTCAGTGCCTAAAGGTGCTGAGTCTCTTTTTATGTTTATATCAGACACTTATGTATCTCCTTTCATGAACTGCCTGTTCAAAGGCAGTTACAAATGAGCCCATTTGTAAACCCGAGGTGTTTCCTTGTTACTGAGTTGCAGTTCAGAACCATAGTTTTCATAAATCTTGCACTCTTAGAACGCTGACCTAGCCTGCTCCCAGGGGCCTGGGAGTCAAATCCAAACGCCAGGGTCTCCCCCCACCCCAGCCCACCCATTTTAGATCAGTGCCCCTCTCCCCTCCTCCTTCCTCGGATACTGCCTGTCTGGCTGTCCCAAAAACAGTCAGATCCTCACCGGGAATCATTGCACTGAAGACTCCTTGGACGACTCAGTGCCTGCTCCCTTTAGCCGCCCCCTCCAGGAACAGCTGAGATTTTCCATGCACCTTAGACCTCTAGCTCTGCTGGCCAATGAACACTGAACGTTAGGAAAGGCTTCTCTGAGCAAATAGGCCTGCATCACAGTCACTGAGGAATCAGGAGGACTTCATCAGATAAGAAGGTAAACAAAGCAGGTAGAAGAGTCTGTACAAATGCCCTGTGGCAGGAAGGAGCGTGGATTGTTTAAAAAAAAAAAAATCTAAAGCTGGAGTAGTAGGAGGGACAGAGGAGGAAAGGGCACAAGAGGTTTTGTTTTGACTATACCAGAGCCAGAGCAAAAGGGATGCCTGAGGTTTGATTTGGTTTTGTTTGAAAGAGAGTGAAAGTGAGCGGGATGATTTAAGCACACTCCTGGCTGCCAAGGTGGAAGCCTAGAGGGCTCTTAAAAGGCCCTCAGGGCACTTCAAGGAGGCGAGCGGAGGCCCAGGGCTGGTACGAAGTGATCAGAGACCTCAGAAAGTTTTAAGGAAAGGAGAGAAAGACGGGCCGGCGTTGGCCTTGGCGATGGACAGACCGTGAAGGGAGAGGAAGGCCAACTCCTGCATTTCTGGATCACAAGGGGTGGGGGCACCCGCCGTGGATTAAGTGCGGGGCGGGGACTTGACAGGGTGCAACTTGACGCCTTGTGTGTGTGTGTGTGTGTGTGTGTGTGTGTGTGTGTGTGTGTGTTAGAGAGAGAGAGAGAGACAGAGACAGAGACAGACAGACAGACAGACAGACAGACGGACAGAAAGAGACAGAGACAGAGTCTGAGCTCCCAGCGGTGTCCGTCTGCGAACCTCCGGGCGGGCGGGATGCGCTGGGGACGGGGCGGGAAGCGACCGCGCCGCCGGAGCCCAGGGGCCGGGCCGGGGTTGCGCCGTGCAGACGCGCGGGCTCCCGCCCCGCAGCCCGGCAGAGCCCCTCTCCGGGCCACCCGAGGCGGCGCTCGCTGGAAGGGGCGCTCGCGGCGGCGGCGCGGTGGGGCGGGAGCGGGGTCTGCGGGCGGAGGGGAGTGCCGGGGGCGGGGCGGGGCGGGGCGGGGCGGGGGTGCGCCCGGCCGGCTGCTTTGGCCTCTTTCTCCTTCCGCACGGCCGCCGGGTTTCCGCTTCCCGCCCAGGCGCGGGGCGAGAGGGAGGCCGCGCGCCCTCGGCCCTGCGCCGCCGCCATGTGGCCCCCCGACGCCGACCCCGACCCGGACCCCGAGCCCGCGCGCGACTCCCGGGGGGGCGCCGCGGTGCCCGGGCTCCGCGCGCTGCTGCCGGCGCGCGCCTTCCTGTGCTCGCTCAAAGGCCGCCTCCTGCTGGCCGAGTCGGTGAGTGCGGGACCGCCGGACGCTCGGCCCCGACGGCGGGCTTGGCGCGGCTCCGAGCAGAGGCGAGCGGGCCGGGGCCGGGCCTTCGGGGGTCTCCGGCCCGAGGCCCCGGTTGGGGGCTAGAGCCGCGCGGCGGGGAAGCCCGGGGAGGGGGCGGCCCGCTGGCGCAGGCAGCCGGGCTCCGGGAACCCGGGTCGGCGCTGTGTGACCTCGGGGTCGGTCCCCGGCGCCCCGCAGCTCACGCGGGGCCCCGGAGAATCCGCAGCCCCGACATCCGAGCCCCAGGGCGCCGGGCAGGGCCTTCGCTCCGCACCCCGGGGACTGGGTGAGGCCGGGGGCGCTGGCAGCACCGCGGCTGCCGGCGGGAGCCAGAGGGGGTGACTTCATCCCCTGCTCCCCGCCCCTCTCAGCTTCTTCCGCCTTCCCGCTCGCCCCCACCCGGCCGGGCTGGCCTTCTTTGTCCACTCCGAAAACTCCCGCACTGTCGCTTGTGGGGCGGGGACGGGCGTCCGGCTTCAGGGATGAAAGGGAGGAGCAGGCCGAGCGGAGGGGGAGACCGGAGGAAGGACTATCTCCAGGCAGCAGCCACTTGCGGCTTAGCTCCCCAGCTCCCCAGCTACTTGACAATACCAGACCTTGTACCCGCGGGGGCTGGGGGATGGATGGACCGAGACCGAGATAAGCGCAAGTGCAGGGGACTGACAGGCGGCCCAGATGAGGCCAAGTGACAGGGGGCTAGGAGGAGGGTGCGGGTCATGGAAGAATTCTGACCCTGGACACCGCCTTGTACCCCTGGCACAAGGAGGGAGGTGGATCGGAAGTCACCTACTTGGCTCCCAAATGAGGCAGCAGGTGGACCCAGAGCCCAAAGCCCAGGACCAGCCTCGTGGCTGTCACCTCAGCCCCACCCTGGAGACCGCTTGGAGCTACTTTGGGGGAGAAACCTTAAATTCACTGTTCATTCACCCCAGGGGCTCCAACTCCACCCTTCCCAGGACCACCTCATGGTAAGGTGTTAGAGGTCAGCTGAAGCCGAGAGGAAGCCTTGGCCTGGCTGGGTGTCAGGAATCCAGGCCGGAGGATCATGGAGAGGCAAGGGATGTTCACTCTGAACAAGGGAGCTGCGCTTGGTCACCCTGCCCCGGGCCCACACAAGAGAGACAGCAGACATGGGCTGGAAGGGAACTCCACCAAGAATTAGAGACTGAGGAAACTGGAATCATCAAGAAGGTGACACCCAGAATCTGGCTTTGATGGGGGATGTGTGGGGGTGGGGACAGGAAGGGGAGAAACAGCAGCCTTCAGTCAAGGAAGTACAGAGTAGGAGATAGGGACAGGGCTGGCCATGGGCTTATGGCCTGCTTTCCCAGAGAGCCTCACAGCCGCCTGTATGTTCAGGTGGGGGCTCAGCTACCCCCAAGACCATGTTGAAGGCAGCTGAGAGTCCCTGGGGACTCCTGGCAGTTCATTTGTCTAAAGCAGCCACAGAGCTTCCTGTGGGGCATCTGGGAGTTCCCAGAGGGCTCCTGTAGCCAGTCCCTGGGTTCTACTCCAAGCTGCTCAGCTGTGGACATCTCTAACCCAGCCACGGTCATAGAAACGAGGGAAGACAAAGGCCTCCAGCAGCCCCAGGTCAGTGTGTCCTGGGTTCACATGCGGGTACCCTCTTACTAGCTGTGTGATGCCATGTCTGGCCCACTGTGAAGAGCTGTGAACAGTGGCTGGACTATGGATGGTAGTGACCATCTGGAGAGATACCCACAAGCCTCAGCAGGCATAGGGCACAGAGGAACCAGCCTTTTGATGTACAGAACTAACAGGGCAGTGCAGGATCCCTCCATTCGCAGCATGTGCATGTGAACAAGGTTACAGTACACCCAGCACCACTTTTCATGATGGCTGCACAAGTGGTGTGGCCAGACCCATGTCAGTGCCACTATATCCTCTCGGATAGATTCTTTGTATTATGCAAATTTGCAAATAAAGGGCTGAAAGACTGGTATTAATAACATTCATACACCTGCCTCTTAGATTGCACAATGGTTAACACTTTGTTATGTTTGCTGGGTCGTCTATCCATCCATCCATATTACGTTTTGATGCATTCATAGTAAATCAGACATCAGTACATTTCATGCATTTGCATTTCAGCATTTATATCATTATCTAAAGTTAAGATTTTGGCTGAAGCAAGAGGATCTGGAGTTTGAGCCTACTCTGGGCAACTTAATGACTTAGACCCTCTCTCAAAACAGAACTGGGAATGTGGCTCAGTGTGGAAGGCACTAGCTTCAAGCCTTGATACTAAAAAAAAAAAGTTTGTTTTTCAGGTAAAATTTACATTCGGTGAAAAGCACAAATCTTCGGTGTTAGATGTTACTTTTTGAAACTGGTTGCTATTTAGCTTTCATTTGCCTCTAGTGGGCACCGAGTTGAGTGAATTCTGCCATAAAGCCAGTAAAAGGGTAGTGGTGGTGGCTGGGGTGAGTAGCCCCAGGAAGCCAGCTCCCAGCAGGGAAGCTCAGCCTTCCAGAGTGGATCCTGCGAGGGGTCAGGGCTCTAAGCCATGCCTAGGGACTGGATGTGGGCCTCATGGCTGCTTTAGTACCAACTGTGTCACCTCACAGCTGCAGGACTGGGCAGGCTGCCCCCCAGCTGGAGCCTCCCTTATTCCTAAGGCAAGAAGAGGCTGACTCTCCCTGGCTTCCCCACAGGGTCTCTCGTTCATCACTTTCATCTGCTATGTGGTGTCCTCGGCATCCGCATTCCTCACAGTGCCTCTGCTGGAGTTCCTGCTGGCCCTCTACTTCCTCTTTGCAGATGCCATGCAGCTGAATGACAAGTGGCAGGGCTTGTGCTGGCCTATGATGGTAAGAACCAGGGGACCCATGAGGTAGAAGCTGGCTGTCATGATATTCACCACTAATCAGCAGATGAGAAATCCAGAGTCCTGCACAGAGCCCTGTCCTGTCTCCAAAGCGCTGGAGGGGCAACTTGCTTCTTGTGAAGATAATCCAGGCCTGCCCTGCAGTAGGACCTGGAGCAGAAAACCTGGAAGCCGCCCGTGGCCACCAGGTGGCGTTGTTGTCTCCAGCAGGGTCTTGGAGGAATGAACCCCAGCCACAGGAATTCGAGCCATTTCCAACCACAGGGCAGGTTAACTGAGGACCTTCAGGGCTCACCCAGACCTCAGCCATCTGGCACCCCTGGCCCAGTTTGATCACCTGGAGGGCCCCACAGCCCTACCAGTGATCACTGCTGAATGGAATGTGTCGTAGAGCAGAGGCAGCAAAGGCTTGAGCTCTGATCTCTTGATTTTACTTGCAGCATCTCTTTACACCCAGCGAGGCAGGGCTGCACCCTCTGTTCCCATTTTGGGGATGAGTAAGGAGAAAGAATGATCTTTAAGTGAATAAGCCACAAGTGTGGGGCAGTGGGGTGCAGGCCCACGCCTCCCTGTCAGCGAAAAGCAAGCAGGTCACAAGGTTCCCATTTCCTGCTTCGCCACATGGGCCAAGCCACAAAGCAAGCTGCAGCCTGGTTTTGTTCATTGTCCACAAGGCAGTGGATGGCAGCCTACCTGGACAAGGGACAAGGCAGTGCCAGCTGCTGGCAGCCTGTAGGGCAGCAGGAAACTCACAGGGATGAAAAAGGGCCAGGACGAGGTAGGATTGTGTGGATGCGGAGTCTGGGGCCACGTGGGGAGCTCAGGGCAGTGTGCCATGCTCTTCTCTCCCCAGGACTTCCTGCGATGTGTTACTGCCGCTCTCATCTACTTTGTCATCTCCATCACAGCTGTCGCCAAATATTCTGATGGGTCATACAAAGCAGCCGGGGTGAGCAGCTTCCTTATCTCAGGGTGGGGCTGCCCAGCAATGTCCCCCTTCTGAAGCTCCAGATGCTCCTCTGAACCCTCCTTTAGGTTGGGACCTGGGCACATGCTTTCCACTTGGGGCCCTAGGTGCCCGAGTGGGATGCAGCAACCACAGAGATTTACTCAACACCCTGAGTTTTGAAAGGCTGGTTGTCAGCCCTGGGTTGCAGCTCATTTCCCTTGCCTCAGAAAGGCTGTGCCTATCCAGCCGTCTGTGAAAGGCCGCCCTTCTCCCATGCAGCCTCCTGGACCTGGGACCTGGGACTTTTGGTGATGTGCCCTGCCCAGTGTTCCCAGCCATATGCTCTGTACATGTTCCACAGGTTTTTGGCTTCTTTGCCACCATCGTCTTTGCAGTTGATTTCTACCTGATCTTTAATCAAGTAGCCAAATTCCTCAAGCAAGGGGACTCTACTGGTGCAGATGAAACCACAGCCCACAGGGCAGAAGGTAGGTGGCTGCCCTAAGTCTTCCTGATTGCTCCTAGGACTGCTGTAGGGGCTCTGCCCGCCCCTGGGGAAACTTGGCCCTCAGGGGTACTGGAGGCTGGGAGGACAGTGTCCCTTAAGGTGGCCAGTCTCAAAGCCAGCCTGTCCTTCCCAGCTAAGCTCATGCATGCTGAGTGCCTCTGGCCCTGCAGTGCTTACTTCCTGGACAAGACCTCAAGGCAGCCAGTCATTCTCAGGATACTGGTCCACCTAGTGTTTAGAGTGGCCCCCTGCCTGTCCAGGGCCCCAAAGGTCTGAGAACCCAGACAGTTACTTTTTCCATGGTCCCTAGGCACAGCCAGATCCACTCATGCTCATTTTAGTTGTATTTTCAAGGAAAAAGCAACAGATATTCTAGCCCCTCATTCAGTTCAGAAAGGCCAGTGCCTATTCTCTTGATGTTAGTTAAAAGGCTGGTGTTTCTGTCTGTGACAACGTAGCCATATCAACCGTCACGCCTTTGGAGGGCTTGTACCTTATATGGCAGGAGCCCTGCAAAAATTTGTCAGGAGTATCTGCAACTGGTATGGGGTCTTCCTTAGCCACACCCTGCGAAGACCCCAGAGTACCAAGCCCATAAGGGCAAAAGAGTAGAGCAGGTGGGAGTGCTGATGTGCACTCCCCACATCCAGGGCTCTAAAGCCCATTGGCCACTTCCCTGCCCCACCCTCACTGCAGTCCCAGGTAGACTTTAAACAGAAATTGGTGCCATCATGGGCTAGCAACTCAGATCTTGCTCAGCATTCAATGCATCCCAGTCTAGTGTTCCCTGTGTCTTCTTGAGCTCTTAGGTTACTCTGGCTGAGCCCATCCTGTGCTGGGTGTTAGGAGTGCAAAAATGCACAGGGCCTTCCCTGGAGGGGCGTTCAGCCCAGATTGGAGTTAGAAACCTGAAGCAGGGTGGTGCTGGACACAGCTGATTATGTTTTGTCCTGTGGGGACAGGAGCAGAGGCAATGTCATGGAAGGTCACTAGGTGGGGCAGTAATGATGAGAACAAAGTGAGAGCTAATGCACAGGGATAAAGCAGCTGAGGCTGAGTCCTAAAGTGCCAGCCTGGCTAGAGGCTGGTGGAGGTGACCCTGGAGCTAGGTCTCAATGGATGTGTAGGAGTATGCAGGCAGAAGAGATGGGGCAAGTGGAGAGAGACTAACGGAGTGCTTACCATCCAGGTGAAGTAAGTCAGGAAGTGGTGTCCCGCCCCAGGCAGGTAGACAGGACAGTGCTCTCCAGGGCATCTAGGCCCCACCTCCAAATTGGGATCTTCCCCACCGAGTGCCTGCTGTCCCCAGGCAGGACCCAGCTGCTTAAGTTTAGGAACCTCCAGGTTCCCAACAGCTGGGCTGCAGGGCCCAAGGGGATCTGTAACCCTGCTAAACATGCTGTTCAGCTGGTCCTTCCCAAACTACAGCAAACATGAGGTCATATGCTCCTGGATGTGGTCCTCAGGCATCTGTAACCTCTAGAAAGTGCCCAGCTGGCCAGCCAGTCCAGTGATGAGTCATCAGTGTCAGTGAAGACTTGTATTTTGAATATTTTATTTTTAAAAAATTGGAGTTTTTTTTGGGGGGGGTTGTTTGTTTTTGGTGCATAAGTTATTGCAATGAAAATACATATTAGATACAAATAAACCAAAATCCACACAATCTTCTCAGTGCAGCCCTGGCATGAGTGAGGGGAGCCAGGACTTAGGGGGGTTCTTCAAGCACTCTGGGAACTCACTCTCCCCAGGCTTGATCCTGAGCCAGCAATAGCTCTGGGACAAACAAAGATTCTTAAGATTCAGGGGCTGGCCAGAGAGGGCAAGCATAAAAACAGTAACTGTGGTGGGGTTGGGGACGAAGTCTGGAGTGCTTTTCCTCCCTGGGGTGGGCTTCCAGGAAGGCTCTACAGAACAGTCTTCAGTAGTGGGGTTTCGAGGAACCCTCAGGACTCATATCACTGATGGGCCCTATTAACATTATACAGCTGTTTGTGACCATAGTATAGAAGAAGGGTGGGGGTAGGGAGATTGAGCCCATAAAATGACTTTTTAGGAAACGTCTGCTGATTTTCCAGAATATTTTAGTGTAAAGGACAAGGAGGTAGGTGTCCTGGCTCTGTCCTGCTGAACTGAGGGGTAGGGTTGAGGCTGGGATACAGATGAACATCTCTAACACCTCCAGGTGAGACCAGCCCAGGGGCCTTGGCCCTGGGGGTGAAAGTGGCCTCCTCCAGGCCCAACCTTCTCTCAGCAGATGGCCGTAATGGCAGAGTCTAGAGTCAGCTGTGGGAGAGGCAGCGCCTGGGCTCCTGCCAGCGCTTCCCCGGCAGTGCCTCCCCAGAGACTGCTCCTGATGCCTGGAGATTCTTGCCTGGCATCCTCCATGCTTTCCTTTCAGAAGAGAATTCCGACTCTGACTCTGACTGAGGGCCCGCTCACCTGGGGCTTTGGCACCTGTACCTTCTGACACAGCTGCTGGAAGCCTGGCCTGGCCATGGACATTGCGATGAGGGGAGGCTGCTGTCTGGGCCTCCCCAAAGCCTCAAGTTTCCATCCTGAGCCCAGCATTCAACACTGCAACCCCGGGCTTGGCTCAGCTAAACCACTCCGCATACCAGGACACTTTGGGTACTCTACCTTCTCCCCATTTCTGTCACATAAACCCTAAGCCCTTTAACCCTGCTGTCAACAACAGGCAGACCACTAGTATCCAGCCTGCCACACCACAGTTTGTGCTGCAGGGTGGGGGTCGCCTATGTCTGCCTAACGGGCCCCTGTGGGCTCTGTCTGCACAGGTGCCGCTGCTTATGCTGACACTTTTTGAGAACACCACTTTAGGAATCTTCAGTTCCAGGAGCTAAAGCAGGGAGAAACTGACCTTGACCTTACTCTCTAGGCATGGGTCTCGGCACCCACATCTGACATCTCACACCCCAGAACCACATCTTATTCAGGTGAGATGACTGGTCTGGGTCTAAGACTCTCAGAGAAGAGCTCAAGCCTCGCTGGCCAGGGCCAACAGACAGAGGGAGCCAGTCAGTGACTGTGGCTTGGCAGCTGGGCGGGCCCAGCTAAACCTCTCCTTTTGCTGGAGGCCAGTGTTCTAAGGACCGTAAAGACTATGTGCTTCCCTGTGGCTATCAGAGCAATTCTGTGACCACCTCCTGAGAAATGAGACAAGCCTTCTGCATTCACCTGAGGACTTAACATTTTTCATGTATCTTTGATGGGTTTTGTAGCTTTTTATAGTTTTATATATATACAAAAAGCAGCTTAACAGATATTTTCTGTGACCTAAGAGGCCCTGTGAATGAGCCAGAGTTCTGGGCCCATGTTTTAGACATTTGTGACTTTATTCTATTTGTGCATGTGAACCTCGTACCCTGAAAAAGCCATAATGGATTAAACCAGACTGACAACCTACTTGAAGTGTCTTGATTGTAAGAACCCTTCTGCCACCCAGAGCAGTAATGTGCAGGATCACAGTTCAGCACAAACTAGTAAAAGACATGGAGAGAATCCCAGCAGCTCTCAGTTTCAGCAATAAGGCACATATACTTCCTGTATGCTCAGGACTAAGGAAAGCATCTGAACAGTGCCCGATTATTTTATTTAATCCTGCAGTCAAGCAAACAAGAGAAACACTAAGTGACGGGCCCAGGGCCCCCTCAATTACATATGAGGAGTATGTCCTATGGCAGCCAGAACCTGGAGCTTTTCTGGTTTGGAAACTGGCTGTACAAGAAACCTCAAGGCTGCAGCCTGAGAGAACCCTGCTCCATGTTCTGGCTCAGGAGAGATGGCAAGAGGCAAGGCCTTCTGCCATAAATGGTACATAGGGCTGAAAACATTAAATCTGAGTGTCAAAAGCCAAGAGAGGCCCAGGGTAGAGTTTCTGTCTACCTTGTCAGCCCAGCAGAGCAGGCACCATGGAGGCCTCAATGCATTCTGTGGACTGCTCTTTTGACTTCCACAGAGCAAGCCGGGGTCCATAGCCTTTGGGGAGAGAGGAAAGGAGACAAAGCAGAGAAGAGAGACTATAATATTTTCACATGTCCATTTATTAAACAAGAACTCCTTCATGACAATTTAATACAATATTAGCGATTAGTGTTGAGAAAATTATTTCCCTCTACATACAAAAATACAGATTTAACACTATGAAAACAAGACAAGTACCATGAAAAATTGGTCCTTCAAAAGAAATAAAGGGGAAGACTTGAGGGCAGTGTGAGGCTTTGTCTGCTGTCAGGGACAAACTGACAGGAGCAAACACTTTGGGGTTCCCATTCCAAATGCAAAGGGTCAAACCTGAGAGCCTGTCAGAGTGGGAGGAAGCCCCTGGCACAGCAGCCATGTCAGGGTGAGAGGCCAGGACGGCAGCTCTGCCCCGCAAACCACATGAGCCCAAGTTTGCCCAATGCCCACCACCTCAGAATGCCCACAGCTATGTCTCTGGACTGCCAGAAGAAACAGACTTCAGACACAAGGTGTGGCAGTCTTTTACACTGCCCTAAAAAGTGCCACTAGGTAAAGTACCAATGAGTGAGCCTATCAAAAGTTAGGACTTAGCTGTTTGACTGCACTTCCTTCATTTTCACAGAATTAATGTTGACTCTTCAAAAGAACAAAAAAAGCAAGCTATAATTTCATGTTTCAGTATATCTGTACCTTCCTCCACAAAGGCTCAGTTTACCCAAGACTCTCCTTGACCAGACAGAACTCAGCCTGCAGGGCGGGAGCACAGGGAGCTGCTCGTCTGCCTGTGCCTTGGTTCCCTCCAACTCCTCATGAGCGCCCCTACTGCACTCAGGCCTAAAGCCTGGACAGGGCCACAAGTCCACCCTGAGCATCCATAACTCCATCTGAAATCCAAGTGCACGGCAGGGCTGGAGACAGGTTGTGGTGCTCTAGGACTAAGCCAATGCTGGAAGACCCCGGGCCACGTAACACCTTGGAGTCTCGAAAGGAACAGGGCAAGGAGCCAGGCTTTCCACAATTTCAGACCCAGCAAAGGGGAAGTCATCATACATGATGGGCTTTTCTCTCCTTTTTCAATATAGGACAACTTTTATTGTTCAAGGTGAGTGGTGGCTCTTGAAACTGAGCAAATGGTTAAACAATGCCAAATGCAATTATACTGACTCATACTTATTTCACAGAAATATACTTTTACTCTCAGACTATTTAAATAAGCAGAGACAAGATGTAGGGGGAAATTCAACGGAGAGATGAGAGTAGCCAGGGGATTTTTTTGTGGTTTTTTATTTGTTTGTTTTCTTTTTGAAAATACGAATTTTAAAGGGAAAATGGTCCAAACCACAAGACCAGCATTGTTGAAAGCAATATTAAAAGGACGTAATCTATAACATGCTACAAAAATAGTGTTATCTGTTTTAACTAAATGTACATCTTTTTTTCCAATTCCATGATCGACAAGAGTGCTTATGTGATACACGGAAGGCACCAAAGGTGTAGTGATTATTTATCTTAAAATATACAAAGACAGAATTGCCTACTATGAAAAAAAAAAGTCAAACCTGTAATAAATAGTTTAGTATTTCTGCCATGGGTTCCTGAACCCCTACAAATTTCAACATATACAAATAATTTTAATCCCTATCATTCTCTTAGAGGGAAGCATATGAAAATCAAGTTATGAAAAGCACTGATTTTATGCAATCCATCGTGATTTGAAGACTCATTAAGTGTGCAGTGGATGAAAGAGCTGGACTCAGGCAGCTCCTCTTAGATCTGGGCCAACATGGGGACCATCCTGGGCATCCTGCCCTTGCCCTCGCCCGCCCCAGCCCTGGGACCAGCCCATTCTCCTTTAATGCTTTTCTTCTTTACTTCCACAGAGAAGGAAACAGTCTTGAAATTTGCAAAGTCAATTGTGGAAAAATTAGGAAGACACGGCCAGTGAAGGGAAGCAGCCATTAGTGAGGCCTGGAAAGGTCTCATGTAGACGCAGGGCTCCCACGTATTCTTAGGTCCTGGCTTTCCTCTCTGCCTTTCCTGATTAACAGGAGTAACTTCCTACTAGATGTCAGTAGCAGCTTCCAAAGACAATTCAGATTTGATAGTTTCAGATTGTTACCAAAACCCACATAAATCATTATCAGGATGTTGTTTTGTGTAGTCTGTTTTCAGGAACAATTATGAAAAGAAACTCAGATCTGTCCTAACTCCCATCAACAAAGCTGACCTACATGGTTTCAGACGGTTTTTATCATAAATACCAGAACCATAAAAGCTCTGATAGCTCATCAGAGTCCAAGTAGTATTAGCCCTTAACCAAAGTTTGTTCCCCTGAATTAAAGTCTCAGGATAAAAAGCATGGACAGCAAAGTAATGCACTGAAATAGGTAAGCTATTCAAAGGCCCGTAATCTAAACTTTGTTCTAAACAAGTTGCCAATGTCAAGGTCAGTGGGCTTGTAGGTCATTTTTTTTCTTTGCTGTTATGTTTATGGAATAAGAAAAAGTAGAATGAAAAAAATCCCAAAGGATGAAAAAAAAAAAGTGTCCAAATGGAAAAAGATACATTCAAGATAAGGGAAAATATAGGACTTTCTCTGTTTCAAGCCCAGTGCATATACATGTGCTATTTACTGGCATGAAGAAAAGTCCAACAGAACATTCGTTTTCAGAAGAAAATTCTAGATCTAATAAACTATTTTTTTCCGAGACAGGAAATATAAAAGGTTTTAAATAGAGGGAACATAAAAGGTCAAATATTTCAAATTACTTTCCCTACCAGGCAAGTCTTATGATTTCAAAGGTACCTCTGCTAAGAGACGAAACAAAAGAACTCAGAGAATCAGGAAGGTTTACAAAGTGAAAGGGTGGCCTTCAGCTCTGTGTCCTGCCAGGGCCCTACGCTAGTCAGTCACCTGCTCAGACCCACACCGGCTGCCCGTTGCTCCCAATGTGCAGGTCTTGCCCCAAGCTGGTCTGGGAATACAACATCTCACTTTGCTACAGACACGAATACAGGCAGGCAGTTAACTGAGCACGTTTCCCTAGCAGCCTGGGGTTGTAAACACATCTAACGCCTTCAAGGGTTATCCAAGGGTCACTCATGGCAAGCAAGAGCTCACATACATGTACAGATAAAAGCAAGGGCTTTGTCGCCACAGAGACTGTCTGTGGTTTAACAGAAGTCTGAATCACTAAGAAAGCATCACAAAGGCAAACAAAACCGCATACTTCAAGAAACCATGAATGTTTACACCTGAGCCTCGAAGCTGTAGCTAGTAGGATGGAGCACAAGTTGGAGGCCAGACATACCCGGCCTGCCCACAGGCATGGTCCTTTAGGCAGGAGAATAATAATGGCATCCCAGGGCCACACCATTAGAGCCTGGATGGGCCTTGCTGGTTTCCCTGTGGTTGGCTCTGCACACACCAACTCTCCTGCTCAGTGGGCTAAGGGAGACACTGCAGTGGAAGTGAGCAGGTTACTGTATTCTTGCTTTTTTTTTTTTTTTTTAAATAAGCAATTTGCCTTGGAAGTCTGATTACTTTAAATCAAACTTTAATAATATTTTAGTCTGTAACCATGTTTGCCCTTTCTAGGGGACCAACAAGTGACTAGGTTTGCATAATTATAGTATCTCTGGGTGAAAGGGAAAGGATATTGCCTCCTCCGTGCCTTCAGCAACATGAGGAGAGGGGAAGGGAGGGAAAGGAGAGGAAATATACAACCAATCAACCAAATCACTGCCAAAATAAACTTTCTCTGAAGGTGGCAGTGTTTATATCCATCAAAATCACCAGAGGTCCCACCAAATCCTGGAAGGCTTCAGCCTGCGTCTGTACAAACATTCCAGGATGGAAAAAACACCTGCGGTTCCTTCAAGCTTTGCTCCAACTTCTGTGAAAGTCAATTCATCCCACCAGAACACTGAGAAAACTGAAAAACTAAGCCTCAGCCTTAAAATGCCCCAAACCTAAGTGACATTGGTATATACTGGATCAACTAAATGCAGAAATACATTTCCTTCCATTTGCAAGGAAGTCATTCTAATCTAGACCATCTTCTGTTGGTACATAGAGGAGGCAGAAGAAAAACACGGTACCTTGCATTCATTGTAGATGACCATATTCCTTTCATGACTTTTCCTGTCTGTACACTACATCAGTCAGACTGTACAGGTCACTTCCGGTTCTAGTGGGAGCTAATTAAATAGTATAGGAAAATACATTTACAAAAACCATGAGGAAGCCTCATGGCACAAAGGATATTAAATAGTTACAGGGACATAAATAATTCCAACGAGTCTATCACTAAGATGCGAATTAACTCCTAAATCTCTCTGGGCACGAGACATCATTGCTTTCTATCCCTCAGCATTTCTGGTCTTGATGGGCCTCAGAACTGTTTCTTTCCACTGACAACACCTCCTTGGGAGGCCAATCAATGGTTTCCTTCACTGGATATTAAGTTGGTTTTATTGAAGTGACACAGAAAAACTTGGGCAACAATCTTGCCCGAATGATATTCTTCTTTCACTCTTACTTCAAAGGTGGCTTTTATTGGGTCCAAGTAACTTGACTCCCTGCAGATTTCTCAGAAAGCTCAGGGTATCCTTCCTAGTGGGTTGTCTCTGTGGCCCTATTTTAAATGGAATTCTCAGAGGGCAATAAGCCCAAGTTTAATTATGTAGACATACTCAACAAATGCACAATAAATATGTAAAACTATGAGATAAAATCCAGATGTCTTCAGCTCCCCCCACATCACTGCATATAACAGGTTCAGCGTCTATAAAGTATGTTGCTGACTCATGACACACACACAAGAAGAAGGCTCTATCGGCCTCATGCCCAGCTGTAACGAGGCCAGGCCACCCACTGTGGTCAGTCCCTGAGGCAGCCAGGCTTGAACATATGGCCTGGGCCATTCCTCAGGAAAGACTACAAAAGACTGGAGTGTGCTGGACACTGGGATAGGGGGCTAACTCCTAACCCTGGCCCTCAGACCCGACACGCCACCATTTCTGTGGAATCCCCAGCCCAGTGACACTACCTAACCAACACCCCTCTCCTCCCTGTTAAAGCAGACACTGCTCTTCCTTAAAAACACAATGCCACACATGCACAGGGACACCTCTTCACACTCTCCTACCCCTTCCTCTGGGCCATTTCCTACGCGGTACACAGCTAAGACTGTAAGTGGTCCTTAGTACAAGATGTCAAAGTTTTCCAGACTACTGCAAGATCTTCCCACCAATGGTGTCTTTTCCTTGATAAGGGCTAAACACAAAATATTAGATCTACAATGACATCTGTAAACATTAAAACAGTTCAAAATGTGAAAACCTGACAAATTATAACAATTTTCCCATGAAAGATACAATTAAGTCTTTTAACAACCACCACAATAACAAAATTACAGCACTGCAGGGGCTCATTTAACTCATTCATCACAAAAAAAATAATCTTCACTTGATCAACAATCAATCAAAAACCTCAGTAACTAGGATTTTCCCAACAATCTCCACCACTGGTGTTCATAGTAATGAAGCTCAGGTACCCAAATTGGTAACTGGTACCCTCTGACACATCAGAGGAAGGATGTGTCCTGGTGTAAATTCAAGTATTTTTAAATTCTAGACAGATCTATTCAGAATCATCTAAAAATTCTTCTCACGCATTAGAAAATTAGCACACATCCCTGAAACAGGTATGTTTGTGTGTGTGTCCTGATTTGTAATACATACACACAAACACTCCCATGTGTGGTCCAAGAAGCCAGCAAACAGGCAAGTGCTTTGGCTGGTGGAATGGACTGTGTTTTTTCTGTGGCTGTTACCTGAGAAGGTAAAATTACAGAAACTGCAATTCAGCCTCAGAGTGTTCAGGGTAAGCAAGAAACTGTCACACAAGATGGTCCCTATATTCTTGGGACTGAGGAAGAACCAACTGATTTCCTAGCAGGGCAGAAAAAAGGGTAACCTTCCTGTAGTCAGAGGTCTCATGGAACTGTCCCACAGGACATCAGTTTTTCCTGTCCCTGCAATTTTCAGGCCCAGTGAAGATATTGACCAGCACATTTAATGCTAAGACCCTCAGAGTCCCAGTGACTTTCAGGCCGTTCTGGTTGTCTTGATGCCCTGGACATGGAAGACAAGGAAGGCAGGTCCTGGCAGCCAGACTCAACATGCACCCAGAGCACACCACGGGGCTGCCCAACTGTCCCAATCCTGCACCTTCATTTCTTCATGTCTATTTTCCCCTTCTTAGCAGCCCTGTGTAACCCAGCATCTTCACTCGTTACAAATACATATGACAGCGTGGCTCATGGGTCATTTAGCTGGCTGCTCCTGTGGCTGTCCAATATTAGAGGAGACAGGCCTGTCCAGCCCACCATGGACCCACCCACAGGGCCACTCTGGATACCTTTTTCCAAAGTGAACTTTTACCAAAGAGGACAAAATTCAGCTGAATCACATGGAAGTCTCGTGAGCAGAGGGAAAGAAACTTTGACTGGAAGGATGGGCACAAGGGCTGGAGGGAGGTGGACTCCAGCAGGACTTCATGTGTCCAAGCGCTGGATCTCAGGACGACTGTCCACATCTCTGGACTCAGTGCGGGCTCGGATGTAGTCATTCGCACTCTGCTGACGGATGCTGACTCTCCATTTCTGTACGGCCAAGAATGTGCTCGCTGCATAGGCTGCTGTTGCCAAGAAGCCAAATATCTAAAACATAAGGCAGGGTTAGCATTGGGCATTTCACCTGGCCCCCGTGGTTTCAGAGACCCGAGCTGTGTCAGTCCCTTCTAGCTGTAACCCCCGCCACCCATCCTATTGAATGTAGAGCTCTCACACCTGACTGAGGTTGCAGTCATGTGACCCACAGAAACCCCAACTAAAAGTCAGCTTAGTATTATATACCTTTTTCAGTGTTTTGGATCTACTTTTTTTTAAAAAAACAAAACCAAAAAACCCAAATCATAAAGTATCTTTCACTGCATGCACTTTCATGATCTCTCATCCTGGACATGCAAATATAACATAGACAAATACGACATGCAAAGAATACCAAAGTCTCATACATGAGCTCCAAATCAAGCCACAGGGCCAACTTGTCAAATCTACCCACTACCTGCTGCCACTGGGCAATGCCAGGTGAGATGCAGCTGGGGTTGGGTTAAATATTTGATTGTTTCATAATCTACTGACTGACACTGGCAGAGAAGCTGGCTTAACATTTTTGAAAACCTTTTAATGCCCCTCAATTATAAAAAAGATACATGTTCTTTATAAATAAAAGCAACAGAGAAATGCAGAGCACAGGGAGTGAACAGCTTCTATTATTTGGTATCCCCCGCTCAGCACCTCGGCACCTCAACAGCTCAGTGGCCAGCAAAGAGCTAAAGGAGGATGAGTAGGCACACGTGAGAGGATAAGGGACAGTCACAGGATAAGTCACAGGAGTGCAAAGTCAGCCTGCATCTTAACCGTTCAGGGTTGCTTACCAAGGCAGCAATTTCAGCTCCGGTTTTGTGGTTTAGAGCAGCCAGTACAATTGAGGCAATAAAGAAAAAGAAAGTGCTGAGTCCAGTGTTGACCAAGTCCTAAGAAAAAGATAAAAAAAAAAAACCAATGGAAAAGAATCATTCTAAAAGCAGATGAACTTTCAAAATGGGACCCACAATACCCAACTTCCAGTGGCTCTGTATCTCAGTCATAGTGTCGCATAAGGAAGACCAAAAACAACAGTTTATGATGTTACTGGGCAAATCACACTGCAAAAATCTACGTTTTAACATACCACATTACCAATTCTTGTCAGCAACTAAAAGTTGTAGTACTAACAACTGTCTACAATTTTTGTTGTCTTTTTATTTTACTTTTTGTGGTGCTGCAGCTCAAACCCAGGGCCTCATAATGCTAGGTAAGCACTAGCATCACTGGGCCACATCTTCAGCCCTCTAACCCATAAGATGCCCAGGTCACCTTAGACAGGCAAAGTGTAACAGTTCCAGTGTACTGACATTGGTACAGTCCCCCACTACATCCTGCCTGTAAGTGTGACACTTAAAGTACACCGGTCTTCATACACTGAGGACACTTTCTTATATAGTCTGTTAAAACTTTGCATTGCTAAAGCTGGAAAACTTCTTCCTCAACTTCTTGCAATGCAAATAAGGTTATACACCCCATGTTTCAGAGATCCAATGCCTATCTCACTTGTGGAAGAAACACAATACAGTGATTAAGAATCACATCCAGACCAGGGGAGGAGAGGTGGGTGGGGTTGAGAGGTGGGTGTCATGTAAGCCCAACCTGCAGGGCTTACATGACACAATTTTCTGGAAAACCACTTACCAAAAGAGAGCAAAAATTCTGAAAAGATTCATGTTCTACTTAGAAATTCATCTTAAGTACTAGTGCAAAGAAACTGTTAGTATAAGGATGTTTTAAAATAGCTAGAAGCAGCCAGATGTGGTACATACCTGTAATCCCAGTACTTGGGAGGCTGAGGCAAGAAGATTGCCACAAATTCAAGGCCAGCCTGGGCTACAAAGTGAGCTCAAGTCCAGCCTGAATTGTTTAGTGAGAAACTTTCTCAAAAATAAAACTAAATAAAAACTTAGAAGCAAACAAAATACTCAAAAATATATGATCCTATTAAATAAAATGGGATTTCCATAGTGGTAAATGATGCAGTCATTAAAAATAATCAAGTGGCTTTATATTCAACCTGGAAGACACTTGTAATAATTTAAATGAAAAAGGATGACTACTTTATGTTTGAGGGGGGTGGTACTGAGGATTGAGCCCAGGGCCCCACACATGTTGGCAGGTTACACTGAGCTATGTTCCCACCATTTTCATGGCCTTAGTGGCTCCATTTTACTCCACTCATGTATCACAATATAAATGTATATATGAAAAACAATCTAGAGAAAATACAAGGGTTTATACTTGTGTATTTAAACATACAACTTAATCACAATGAAATTTTAGAACATTTCAGCACATCACATAAAATCAAAACCAAGACCAAACCTTCATATCCATTAGCAATCATTCTCCTACCCCAGGCCCGGGCAACCACTAATCTGCTTCCTGTCTCTGGATTTGCCTATGCTGGATATTTTACATAAATATAATTATATAATAAGCTGTCTTTTGTTTCTGCTTCTTTTAATATAATGATTCTAAAGTCTATTCCTGTTGAAACTTGGATCAATACTTCATTCCCTTTCATTACTGAATAATATTTCACTGTGTGGATACGCTATCTTAAGGTACTTTTCTCATCACTGAAATGACACCCAAGTTAAAAGATGAAACTTTATTTCAGTTTGTAGTTTGTAAAGGTTTCAGTCCACAGCTGGTTCCAAAGCAGGGTGGCATGGCAGCACATGGCAAGCAGAAGGCATCAAGCAGCAAAAGCAGCAGCAGAAGCAAGCCTGCCCTTTCCTTTTATCCCAAACAGGCTACAACCCTTGAGTGGTGCTCCACACACCCAGGGTGAGCTGCTAAAATCCATTCAGCCATAGCAGAACTACACTGACTCTTACAAGTGGACTAATTTAATACCATGCACCCGAATCCCAGTATCACATGCTCTAGATCCAGCCAGCTCTAAAAGGCCCACTTATGAGTGCATGAGGCTTTGGGGGACATCTAGACACCGGCCACGACACACATCGTACTTGCCCTTTCACCAGTTGATGGGCATGTCAGTGTTGTTACTTTTGAGTTATTATGCTAACACAACTATGGATTTACAAGCTTTTGTGTGGGTGTATGTTTTCATTTGTCAACTTGGGTTCCACAAAAGACTCATTTTACCCTATTTCACCAGGCTGGCTCTGTTGAGAACAAAAACTCTCCCAGCCAAGCGCAGCTTTCCAAGCCAGCTTGATGAGTTGTGCTCCCCTTTCCTGGGCAGATGACACAAGCTGCCATCAACAGGTACCATGTCTTCCAGGCTCATACCACGCCAGTGTCCACCTGTGGGATACGCTAGCGCTTTCAATTGCTCCAAAAGAGTGGAGACTCTGGAAAGGAGCCAAAGGATGGGAAAGTGTGCTCAAGTGACCACACACCACGCAGCCACGGGCCCAGCTAATGCCAACCAGAAGGCAAGGGAAGATACCATCTTTCCAGCAGAAAAGATGGACTTCAGTTATGACCAGCAGTCAACAAATGGAAAGTCTTTCATGGTTAAAATTGGAAAGATGAGCATTTCAGAAAGCTCACAAAAATATGTATCTCTGGGGTCAAATAAAGGCAAGTATAAATTAGTACACTAAGATACACTTAGTATACTTTAGTATACTAAGAAATCTGAAACACATTAATGCTGTCAAAAAGCTTATAAAAACGGAACTCAGGGCAGAGTTGAAGCTGGTGGTGTTCACAGGAGAATGGTATGAGACTCAAAGTGAGACAAACATCTCAAACTGGCAGCAGCCCCTCTTGGTTTTAGAACTTACTATGAGCCTTCATTCCCATTTTTGTTTGTTTGTTTTATGTTTAAGAAAAATACTATCTCCATTTTACCAGTGTGACTTGTTCAGGGTGATACACACAGCTAAGCGCTGCCTTAGACTTTCAGCCAGCCAGGTCTGCCTGACTCAAAGCCTCTGATCTCAACCTTGCCACCAGCTGCTTCGATGTCAGGTTGGTCCTACTGCAGGGCTCCATTCGCTCTTCAGCCACGCCTCTGCTCAACAGGTACTAATAGGGAGAACCTCAAAACCATCGCCACTGGGATTCCGGTGAACAAGGAAACCACCTTGTCCTTGCCTCCTGAGTGTGCATTTCAGCTTAGACAGGTTTTTGAGGCTCACATGAACTCCCTGTTCACTACACTATCGGCTGAAGTCACAACTTGTAAGCACTTTTTTTTTCTTTATATATTTTTTTGGTCTTTTTCATTTTTATCAGTACCGGGGATGGAACTCACGACCGCCTGCTTGCAAGGCAGGTACTTATGCCGCTGAGCTAAATCCCCAGCCCCTCGTAAGCATTTTTTGCACATAACACAAACCTTACTCAAAAAATAATTGAGGCATTAAAACTATTCACAAAAGCTTAGACAAAATACTTGCAGTTATCTTGAAGTTTTAAACTATAGTGTAAATTTAAGTTATCATCACATTTTGCTCAGCTTTCAATGCCAAGACAAACCATTTTTTTTCTAGATTAGTAATTCCTTCATTTATTTCTCTCTAAGAAAGTTTTGCATCAAGATAACATAGGGACCATTTTCTCAAGAAGACCTTTCCCCTCCCAGTTGCCTTCGACTTAATAATATTTTTAGGCTTTTCAAGTTATTGGTAACTTCTTTATATTTTCAATTATTCCAGAATCAATATTTTTGCAGGTGGTTTTGTATGTAGACTGAATAACATGCAAATATATTCATTCTATTTTCTTTCACATATTCTGCAAATAGCAATGTAAGTGATCTTGTCAGATGATCATAACATGAAATGGAATCTTCAAGAGGGTCAAGAGAATTTTGCTATGATGTTTATACCACTAGTTAAGATGCAAAGTATTTTGTACTTTTACTCAACCCAGTAAATAAATTTAAAACTTCACAGCTGAGTTATAAGAAATTATTTAAGTGTCAAAATAAAGAAGAATCAAACATGATGTGGAGAGATTCTAATTTCTTTGGGAGCCTAGCAGCGTCCAATCCTTTCAGTCAAAAGGGTGAGGAGTACTCACTGTCAGGTTCCAGTTGATCTGGGGGATCCTCATGTGAAGGTTGAAGCTGAACAGAATCAGCAAGACTCCAGTCACCACAAATGCACTACAGCTTACAAACTCAAAGAAGTAGAGACCTTCACACGGGGAGCAATCCATGATGGTCTCAATGCAGATGAATGCAATCAGGGCCAGAATCTAGGAAGAAAATTGAAAACGCATGTGGATATTTAGTACACAAGTGTGGACATATATCCCTGCCATGCCTGAAGCTGAACACCACCAATGTACAGCTGCCCAGTTGTCCTCTGGGAATAGGACTGTAACTGTTAGAAATATGACTTGCTTTGACTCAGACATGTTAACAGGTAAGGGACCTGAACGGAAGGACCACATTCCCAATGTCAACAGTGAAGTCCTCACTGCTGTGCTGGTGTGCAGTGGACCAGTGCAAGCTTCTGACCCTTAGAAAGGACGAAACAGAAGGAATACCTCTGTGGGATTTTAGCTTCTCTGCTGCCATCATTTTCTGTATTTCTTATATCTGGTTCCCAGTCCTGGTTTCTATACCAACTGTGCCAAACAATGAGAATGCACAATCTTATCAATCTGCAACTTGGTTTTTCCTGGAGTCACACAAACCAACTGGCACCCCAAAGAGTAACAGGTATAATCCTCTCTTCCCTGACTTAGAAGTCCCTGAAAAGTAGAGGCCTTCCTGGATTTTTCTGTTTTGTTTTGTTTTTTGTTTTGTTTTGTTTTTGTTTTTTGGTACTGGGGATTGAACTCATGACTTTGTGCTTACCAGGCAGGCACTTACACCGCTGAGCTAAATCCCCAGCCTAAAGAGGCTTTCCTAATTAACTCAAATGCTTGATAAAGTTTATCACTGGACTTTGTTTGGAGAAGATGGACCAGTTGCTAATAAAATAACATTTAAAAATCTCTCAATAAGAGAATTGGTCTTTCTCGAGAACCTAACATTCTAAGTAATATGTCCCAAGAATTTGAAGCTCATAAAGATTTATCATTGGAAATGGTAATTACCAAGGGAACGTTTAAAGGGAGAGTTCAGGAGGAGGAAGGGGTACGAGGCTGAATGAATGGTCCCATGATCAAGGGAAAGTCAGGTGGTCTCAAGCACTCACAGCCAGATCAGTTCTGGGGCTCCTGGGTCTTGGCTCTGTTCCCAACCATCTCACAGTCCATCCTATGTCAGACCTGTGCCACCATCTCCTGGCTGGCCCCCACCTTGCAAGGTCAGGGAAGCAGAAGCAACTCTGAGCTCCTCTCAGGCCAGCAGCACAGCATCCCCCGGAGCTTGTGAGAAATGCAGAAGCTCCGCCTCCTGCTTTGCCCTGCACAGTCAGAATCTGTTTTCTGAAAAGAGCCCTCGATGATTAACGCGGAAGAGGTAACCAAAACACAGGCCACTCTAGGGTCCTCTCCCAGAATAGACCATGTATCTTTCTGTGTCCTGAGTGTATGGGGATTGGAAAGGCCATCCCCTCTTACTCCTAAGGCATCAAGCACAATAATTTGCACACAGGTGGCCAAAGGGGGCCAAGGAGCCACAAAAGCCCCACACCTGCCACTCACAGCAGACAAGTCCAGCTCTTGATACTGTAGCTTTGCAGTTGTCTTAATAGAAAAGTGAAAGTATAGGTCTTGGTCAAAGGTCAAACTGGTCAAATTTCAGTTAGAAAGAATTAGCTTATGTGAGCAACTGTGAAAAAAAGGATCCAATTGTGCAACATGATGACTACAGTTTCTATGAAATGTATTCTATTTTTAAAATGGGTACGAGAATAGTTTACATTTTTTCACTAGAAAAAACTAAGATAATGTACATGCTCGTTAGCTTGGTTTGTGCCATTCCACAACATGTACAGATGTATTTCAAAATATAAGGTGTACATAAAAAATGTAGTTTTTATTTGTCCACTAGAAAATAAAAGATATGCATCTTTTGCGTACATATCTTATGCTTTTCCTAACAGCTCTCTTAAAGTCTCTGCAGAACCACAGGCTTTCATTCTCCATCTGAATTACATGCCTGACGCACAATCAATTCACAAAAGAAACAGTTCACATAAGGGAAACTTCTAAACTTCCTTTTTTTTTTCTTTTTCACCCCTGTAATCGGATCTACTAATCCTGGGCAAGAAATAACACACAGTGCTGATGAGTTACAAATGTTTCTGGTATGCTAACTTCAACCATATTTGTGTGGGAAGGTAACACCTACATTCTTAAATATTAAAGTAAAGATGGCTTCAAAAATATGCAAATCTGATAGGCTATTCATTACAATAGTGAACAAAACAGAATACTCCCCACTTTCTAGATCATGGTTCAATGTATAAGTTTTAAAAATTAAATTAAAAATAAAGTTAGCAACTAGGACAAAGGAGAAAAATTAAAGTCAGAAGGTGGATAAAGCATAATGAAGCCAGAGTGTGCAAACTGGACTTCGGGCCCTGGAAGGTGGACTGACAAGGACCAGCCGCGGAAGAGCTGCAGGAAGCAGGGAAGGTTCCCTGGAGAAGGGGGCTGTGAGGCAGGAGCAGCAGCAAGGTTCCAGTTGGGAGAGGAAGAACCACGGAGGATCCTAGAAGAAGTTGGGTACACAAAACCAGAGGTGCAGGCAGGTGTGCAGGTGCAACAGGCCTGTGGCTCTGTCCATGAGGGAAGCGCCATGATCTGATTTAGATCTTCAAAAGGCCACCAGCTACTGCAGGAGGAGACCACGGGAAGGCCTCCAGTGTAGGCTGGAGAAGAGCTCTGTAGAGGGGAGGGTGGCACAGATCAGGGTGGTGGCACTGGAGCAGTGCAGAAGACAGACTCCACAGGACTTGCTGGCACACGATGGGAAGTGAAAGGCACAGGGAGGCATGCATGATCCTCAGGTTTCCACCTGAGCACACGGAAGAACAGTGCTGTGCTGCCATACTGGCATGGGGAAGTGACAAGGGAACAGGAGACCCCAAGGGACGGGCCACACTGTGGTTGAAATGACTATGGGTTTCATGTGGGTTGGTGGTTAGATCTCGAGTGTCGAGGGGAGGATGGGATAGAGATGCAGTAGGAGTCATGGGACAGGATAAGACCCCTCCTGGGGTAGTAGAAACAGAAAAGAGGAGAGTTGAGGGCTACTCTTGGACACTCTGTCATGTTCAGGAGAGAAAGAATCAGGCAATTGAAAGTGAAATTTCAGTTTGCCAGCTACCAACTAGATAAGAGAGTCAGCCTCCAAGAGAGCCTCAAGCATCCATCCTTCTGGGGGCTCTTGTCCTTGTGACATAATGAGTATGGCTGACCTGTCAGTGTTGCAGAAATAAAGTCACAGGTTAAGTCAGAAAAGTCACTGTGGTTTCCGTCTTCCTCTCTGTCTCTCTGGGATTACTGACACTGGGGGAAATGAGCTGCCTTATCAGCATGCACAGCAGCCCTAGGGAGAGGCCCAGCTGCCATAGAAGAAAAGCCTCCTGCCAATAAGCACATGAATGAGCCATCTAGGAAATGCTCCCCCCAGTTGAGCCTACAGGGGACACAGCCCCAGGCAACAGCCTGAGTACAATTGTGTGAACCACAGCAAAGCCACTCTAGGATTCCTGACCCCCAGAAGCTGAAGCATAGTAAAGGTTTGTAGTTTCTAGCCACTAAATTTTGGGGTAATTAGTTATGCAGTAGTAGATAACACATTAGAGGGAGACCTCACTTATGTTATAATTGCTAATATTAGTAACAAGTCTATTATTCACTGATTACCTATGAAGCAAGCACCAGATTAACATGTATTCCCCAGACGCAACCCTGTGAGGTAGACATTAGCTCCATCTTGCAAATAAGAAAATAGAGATCCTGAGATGTAGACATGTCCTAAGGGGCTGTGGGGCGATTTTGATCCTCAGTTGCTCTTGCCCTACTGTCCCACCATACCATTTCTCTATTGGTTCCTAATCCAGAAAATAGCATCCCTGCATGCCTCAAATGGCAATTATGCTCAAAATAAAAAATGATATAAAAATGAAATATACAAAAAGTTATCTATAAATAACTTGTATACAAAATAAGGAAATGTTGGGGCTGGGGATTTAGATCAGTGGCATAAGCTCCAGCTTGCAAGCGCAAGGTTGTGAGTTTGATCCCTGGTACCACAAAAAAAAAAAAAAAAAAGAAATGTTATATCTACTGATCTTTACATGGATATATAGTTTCTAAACTATAAAACTGTATTAAACATCTCATTTTCTTTTTCTTATAAATAGTATCCACAGGTATTTGCACAATAACAAAACAATACATTCTTTTTAATGACAATGTAATATTTATATGTAAAAATATATAAATATACCATACCTATACACATACCACAATTTAATCAACTCCTCTGATTTTTAGATGGTTTCTAATACTGTGTCATTACAAGAATGACATCTGACCCAGCAAAACGCCAAAATGTCTCCAAAACAGTGAAATCTAATAATCACAGCTGAAGTAAACCTACCTATCAACCAATAAGACAAAGAACTCAAAGTTATCCTCCAATCAACCAGTAAGTTATCAACCAATAAGACAAAGAACTCAGTCAAAGCCAACAACTACAAGATAATCAAGAAATCAAAAGTAATTCAACATACAGCAACTTTACAGAGGACAAAAATCACATGGGAAAATTTTACAGAGATGTTCAAGATGTAAATAAGGACAAGCTACAATACGCGCTAATCAGGAGGTCACAGATGTCCTTGTAGGGCCCTTTCCAAGTACCAACCAGTTAACCCAGAATATTTTCAGAGTAGATAAGTAAACTGATGTTACCAAGCTGTCAGGTTCCCATAACTGTGACTAAGTATGATTGGCAACATCAAAAAAAAAACAAAGGGTGGGGGCTGGGGATTAAGCTCCGCGGCATAAGCACCTGCCTTGCAAGCAGGCAGTCCCCCCCCCCTTACCGATTTAAAAAAAAAAAACAAAGGGAGGGGAGGAGCCAGCACTTGCTGGTTATTGTAGCACCTTACCACTGATCACTAATCTGATATAAACTATTAAGGCTTTCTGGAGGCCTTGGGATAAACAGTACTGTTCACCACCACATCCAGTTCTCTCTGTGTAGGCACATTTGGAGTTTATGCTGTGAAGTTTTCCAGAGGTGTATTGATTCTAGGTGATGAGGCTAATGCTTCAGGGTCCCC